CAGGGAGCCCGATGCGGGGCTTGATCCCAGGACCCTGGGATCATGACCTGAGCCGAAGGCAGATGCTTAACGACTGAGCCACCCAGGCGCCCCTGTTTCTACTTTTTTACTGTTATAAATAATTTCACAATTTCAGATGTTACTTTTTCCTTTGAGCATTTTTTTGCTCCATCCCATTAGATCTAATCTTTTCTTCTTTTGAATTCACATAATACTTTGTTTTTATGTGTTCTATGGCAAGTACTATGGTCATTTATAGTTGTCCTTAACACAGATTTAAGCTTCTTAAGATAGGGCTGTTTCTTTTCCCTTAATACCTGTACTTAGTAGAATGCTTTTTTGCATATTGTAAGTATTTAATATCTGAATACAGTGTGGTCATTCATTGAAAGTACAGTTTTACCTAACCTTTGAAGTGTAAGCTTTTCAAAAGCTTGTAATCATTTAGCATCAGTGCATTTATATTTATATTTTTTGTAGCTATGTCTTTCATATTGATAGCACTATAATCATAGTAGAATTTACTTTGGACTTACTAACTTTGCATTGTTTTGTGCCTTATAATTAAGAGTAAATAGGTTATACTAAATGTATAGAAAACATTTAGAAGTAGTTTTGGTTCTGCATTATTAAATGAATTGGTATTTTATTAACTAAAATTGTTATGGTGAATATTCTTTTTTATTAGTATAAAATTGATTATATGGTTATGTTAGAAAATGATTTATACATGGAGTCTTTTTCATAATGAATGCTAAAATATGGTTAAGCTATGTTTTTTTTGTGTATGTGTGTGTGAATATTTAACATACTTTGTTCTTTGGCCAGTTAATGTCAGTTTTAATGTGTAGTTCATAATTTTAAGTGAATACATTTAATAGATAGTTCTTTTTACTTGTAAAAAGTTGTGATTATAGACTGAGTGAAATTGCCTACCTTTGTATGATAAATACATTTGCCCAAGTGGATTGCATTAGTTTGGCCAGGTCTGATGTTCCAGACACTGCTACTTAACTGGAAAGTTCACAGAATGACTGGGAAACATGCAGTATTCTATACACGTTTAACCTTTGCCCACAAACTACTTAGGAATATTATATGTTCTTGGTATTTTTTATAAGTGTAAGTTTATTTTGTGATTTTCTAACATTTTATTAAATAAAAATTTCACTAAACAAATGTAAAAGACTATAGGAATTGATTTTAACAGTGCTGTTCATTTAACAGACATGCTGCATGCTTTGATTATATTCAGCCATTTTAAAAAATAGCCTATATGGGCATGCTGTGAAACTGTTATAGACCTTTATGGTTTCATTGCAAATAGTGATTTCTGTCCAGAGACGGCTGTCTATGATATTATAGCCAGTGTACCCATGCCTAATGATTCTGAGTCTCCATTCCCGTCACCCTAAGCTTGGGTCCTCTTACATTGCTTTTGTCATGTTACTTGGATATTGACAGCAGGAAATAGTGCTAATCCTTGACTTCACATCTAGATGACAGCATTCATTGGCAAGTATGTGATCAGACTCCAGCCTTGAGACTCATGTCTTCTGGTTATAGGAAACTCATACCCTTTTAAACAATTCCCTAAATTAAAAAAATTTTACGATGAGTTTCTGAAATGGATACTTAAGTGATTGTGATATTTATGAATACTTATCTCTCATTTTACGTTTGTATGTGTTATTTTTAAAATATATTTTCAAAAAAAGATAAAAAATGTATTATTTTCTTTAAGTTGGCAGCTCGGACTGCTGAAAGAAATCTTAATGATTTGAGGAAAGAAAATGCTCACAATAGACAAAAGTAAGTTTCTTTGTGGGAACACTTTAAAGCTTTAGTTATTACTTTATTTTTAATTGTTATTTATTATGTAGTACTTTTATAGGGATAAATAAAACTTGCATGGGTCCAGCATATCTGGTGGTGAAATATTTATTAGTTTTACTATGAGTTACTGTATTTTTTTTTGTTTGAAACACTTGTCTTAGAGAAGTTATTTTAACAGAGGTAAACTGTTCACATGTTCTTCTGTAAAAAGCATAACTTAAAAAGAAATTTTTTTTTAAACCAGAGTAGGAAGAAGGTGATTACAAAGGATGGAAAGAGAAAGGACAAATCTCTGATGTAGTAATTCTCAGAGTACTGGCATCTTTTAGTAGATGAATGGGTAGAATAAATGTTTATTGTTTCTCTCATTCTCTGGTTTTCTTGTATTGGATGACAGTGCCTTACAATAATAAAATGAAAGGGAGAATAAAAGTTTACAATGTATAATCAAAAGGAAGAGTAAATACTTTTCTAGGAGGATTATAATAGTCTTCCCAGGTATTAAAATTTCTTGCCAGAATGTACTATTAACATTATCCAATATTAGTTTAGTCTTTTTGCTGGTCTTTTCTACTCTGAAATGAAAACTCCATGATTAAATGTTTTATTTCAGATCCGATGATCAAAAACTAGAAATAAGATTTCTTTTAAAATGTCACATTTTTCAGATAAAAGGTTTAGGAGTAAAATAGTAGGATGAGTTCACTGGATTCTTCATGTTATGATTGGAATCATGGGTAACATTAAAATGGAAAGCAGACATGACTCAGAGCTAGGAGCCCTGTGTTTAATCCTTGCACTTTCATTCTGAATAAATCATGTAAACTTTTAGCCTGTTTCTTTGGTAGTAAAGTGATAGATTTGAACTGGCTGACCTTGGAAGGCCCTGCTATTTCTAAAATTTGGGTTCTGTGATAATAGTATTCACTGTAGTTTAGTTTTGAAAACAGAACAATAGAAAGGTATTTTGGTCAGAATGTTTGTTTATTTTGGTTTCTTTTTTTAATTTTAATTCCAGTCTAGTTAACACACAGTGTTCTATTAGTTTCAGGAGTACAATATAGTTATTTGACGATTATATATATTACTCATAAGAATAATTTTAAAGATCTGTTTCTTCTATGTAGATATGAGGTAGTGAAGAGTACCTTATACTTGGTAGTGGCATTTTTCTTGAAATGTGGGTGCTTTTCTTGGATGAGTAACTTAGAGATGTTTGTTCTTTATTTGCAGATTAACTGAAACAGAGTTTAAATTTGAACTTTTAGAAAAAGATCCTTATGCACTTGATGTTCCAAATACAGCATTTGGCAGAGGTAGTCTTTTTTTTTAAACCCTCCTTTAAAATACATATATACATATGTATATATTGCACATACCTTTTGTATTAGTGTAAATTAATACTATTATTTTATAAATATTTTAGATTTTGGAGCCAGGATTCTAATCTGAATTCTATCATAATCTCCCAAGTTTCTGAGTTTTGTTTCCCTAGCAAAAATGTAAATAATTGCTGCCTCCATTTCTCAGTGACTGTTTACATATCCACTATTCTTTGGAATTTGCTTGAATTATAAAAACAAGAATTATAACAGTTGTTTTTAATTATTTAAAAGTATCAATTAAGGTGGGAAAACATTAATAATCTGAGCTTTCATTGCTTTAATTACCTCCAAGAGAGGACCTGTTCTTTGGAAGATGTATTTAATATTCTTGTCCACTCATTAATGAGTTAGCATTTTTAATGATCTCATTCTGTTCCAAATAGTTTAAATTTTTCAAAATAATTTTTGGTTGAATTGGAATTAAGCATCTAAGGCAGTGAAAAAAAAGCTATCTTTATAAAGGTGGAATCCCATTTTAATAACTGTTTTGAAGGAATAAAAATCACTTTTGAGAGTCTAATTTCATTAAAATGAAGGTATTTTTACATTTAACAAAATAGATTATTATTAATTTCAAATAGTAATAAAGTTCGGAGTGGTGGGAATTATACAGAAGGAATTCTCTTCTGAACCTAATGCAGAAGTTTCAGAAAGATTAAATAATGCTTTGATCTTTTGTTGTAACTGCATTTGACTATTATATAAGCTACGTAATAAAATTTAACATGTTTAAAAGTATTATTTTGGTGGTACTTAAGCTTGTTTTTTAATGTTGTTGATTTTCGATCTTTGGAAGCATAATCATTACTTGGGAGTGGTGAGGTTTGTAAAATGATAGGGCTCTTGGTTATATGGTTTATAAAGTGATTTATTTGCTGAATAAATGTAATCTGAATTTTCAGTGGGAATGAATCAAAAGTAGTTTCTGATGCTTCAGAGGATTTTGCACTTCTACTTTTCAAAATCTGAGCTTTACTCAAATAATTCATGGCCCAACACAGACTATCTGGCTCTAATTTAAACCGAGCCCTTTTATATTACAACCCTCACCAGCTGAACTATCTGGAAGCATACTGCCATTAAAAGCAAAACCAAACAAACTTCATAGCCCCCAAATCCTTTTATACCTCTAAAATATCACCATTATCCTTTGCTTATTAATATTGTATGGTTATTTAAGTGTGTTAGTTACCAAGAGGATAATGTTTTTATTGACTGCAGTATCCATTTGGTAGACAGACTTTAAAAACACAGGGTTCCATATTTAATTCTATCCCATATTAGCAAAACCCAAGGCATAGTTAGTATTCAGGATGTGGATTAAACTTAAATTGGCAATAGGGTGACCTGATGGAAATTGTTGAAATGGAATTCTAATCTATAGTGTAGCTAATTGAAACTATGAATTTAAACATGCTGTTTTAATTATTCCAGAGCATTCCCCATATGGTCCCTCACCATTGGGTCGACCTTCATCCGAAACGAGAGCTTTTCTCTCCCCTCCAACTTTGTTGGAGGGTCCACTCAGACTCTCACCTTTGCTTCCAGGGGGAGGAGGAAGAGGTATATTGTTTAAACATCTTTATTACTCTAGATTTCTTCCTTATTTTATATTTTCATCTCAACTTATCTTTAAAATGATCTTTAAAATAAACCTTTGGATACAGGCATTCCTTGCACTTATTATAGGTTGCTTTTGTTTGGAAAAGGAGCTCTGTGATATTTAATTTTAATATACTTTTAGAAATAGGATTATAATAGGTTACATTTTGATCAAGCACTTGATGTATATCTCTTTAAATCATTTTGACTTCTTAAAACTATATATTATACTACATAATACAGCACTATATAAAGAATGCATAAAATACAATAACAATCTAACCTAGCATAAAATTGTATTTTAGGGCACCTGGGTGGCTCAGTTGGTTAAGCAACTGCCTTCGGCTCAGGTCATGATCCTGGAGTCCCGGGATCGAGTCCGCATCAGGTTCCCTGCTCAGCGGGGAGTCTGCTTCTCCTTCTGACCCTCTGCCCTCTCATGTGCTCTCTCTCTCTCTGTCCCTTTCTGTCTCTCAAATAAATAAATAAAATCTTTAAAAAAAATTTAAAAAATTGTATTTTAATGAAACATTATTAAAATGGAGAATTTCCAAAATCTTTTTTACTTCATGATCTTTTTATTGTAGAAAATCAGAAAGTGAAAGAAAGAACCTTTTTTTTTTAGAGTAATTCAGAAGTACTATCTTGTAGGCAGTTTTGATGAGAGCCTTAAAGGAGACCTAAATGATTTATTAATACTTGGAGAAACTGACTCAGGATTGTCTGCTTTGTTACCCTGTATGGGTTTTTGAGAATTTCAGCAGCTATTTCAAGCCTGTGCATTAGCTCTTGGTCTTTTTGCATTTACTTCATCAGCACTAACCCTGGTGTTACCTATGTACCTGGAGTTTTCCTCTTTTGATCTTTTACCATACTTTGTTCACTTTGTCAAGTTGCTTTAAAATTTTCCCTTGAATTGTGGCAAAATGCAAAGATATAGAGAGCACTGTTTATTTCCAAATGAAAAGTCTTAGGTTTTTAGCCCTAAGTGTGTATTGTATAAGAGCTGATAGTATTCTTCATTAGTGTTGTGATCCCATTCCCCCCCTTTTATTAGTGATTTTAGCATATTGAATCTAAGATAGGAAGAGAAAGTAATGAGACTAAATCAAAACACCAAACTAAACCCAACTTATCAAAGCTCATATATTGAAATGGATACTACTTATCAAAATAGTCTCTCACAGAGGCTGTACTTCCTTGTTGAAGTGCCATTATTTTAAATATTTTTGGAGCTCTTTCTTTGGAGCTATTTCTTTGGGATTACCTTCAAAGAATAAGAAAATGAATTTTCGGGGCGCCTGGGTGGCTCAGTCGTTAAGCGTCTGCCTTCGGCTCAGGTCATGATCCCAGGGTCCTGGATCGAGCCCCGCATCGGGCTCCCTGCTCCGCGGGAAGCCTGCTTCTCCCTCTCCCACTCCCTCTGCTTGTGTTCCCTCTCTCGCTGTGTCTCTCTGTCAAATAAATAAAATCTTTAAAAAAAAAAAAAATGAATTTTCTACTTTATGGTTATGGGATATTCTCCCTTTGCCCATTTCCTATTTACATATTCTTTCCTTATTCTCAGTTTGGTATACTTAGCGCTGATCTCTCCTGCTTCCCAGTCCCACTGCTGATTGGACCCACAGCCTGGAGACATTTCAGATATCTTTGCTTGTGTTGGCTTTGAACTGAAAACTCCTAGGGAAAGAGTGAGTTGCAGACTGACACTTGAAGCCCTGGGAGAGCTTTGCCTTGAGCACTTTAGGAAGGGGACTAATTTTGAAATTCACATGTGTGCTATAAGTGCCCTGAAATTCATTTTCCCCCTGATTTTTCACCTTGATCCCAGTAAGAAATATATTTTATATCATGTCCTATTATACACCAACATAAATGTAATAGAAACTATTTATATGAAATAGTACTACCCTTACTATTTTTGATGCTTTCTGCTATTTTCTATTCATTTCTATTCCATTTCATTAAAAAAAATTGCTGATTAAGAGTAAATTAATTTCATGCACCATGATGGGTTGCAGCCAGCAGTCTGAAAAATAGTGCCCTAGAAATAAAGGTATAATTGGCTAAACTGCAAATGTGAATCACTGGAAGTTGAGTATCATAAGTCAAGGATTGCTTGTAGTCAATTGAATATTTGGAATAAGAGTAAAAATTACCTTTGATTTCTCCTCTCCTATTTAAATTACTTTCCTCTCCTTTAATTACTTTCAAGAAATGATGTGTTTAGATTATTTGCAAGGGTGTTTTGCTATTTGTTAGAAAAGCTACAGAAGTTTTAGGTAAGTTATCAGTAGGTCTTAAAAGAGTTGCTTTGAAGTAAAAGTTCCTGTGACCTACCAAAGAAGCATGATGAGTGCCCTTTTCTTTCCTTTTATTATCTTTTTAAATTTGAAAGTTTGGGTGAGATATATGTTCAAATAAGATGGAGTATAAGGAAAATAATTTCTTTTTAGAGTAAATTTCATGTAACTTTTGGTCTGAATGAAAATTTTAACATTTAGCATTTTCAAGTTTGTAATTTTTCACCTGGTAGTCAGTTGGCCTGTGCTTTGGTTCTCTGAAAGGAAGCAGTCAAGAGAAGGCCTTCGTCTCCTTTAAAGATCTGTGCTTCACTCTAGATGAACTCAGCCTAATTGACTCTCAGCACATTTTTTACCAATTTAATTTTCTGCTTTCCCAGCCTTTTTCTTCTAATGAACTTACTTAGAAGGATGAACAAGCTAGAAGGAAAGATTGGGGGAAATTAATAGAATATACAACTATAAGGAAAAGAGATAGTTGACCTTCTGAATATAAAAGTCAGTTTACCTCCTGACTGTACAAAGGGAGTAGATAGAAAAATTTTTAAAAGATTACTGTATATTTATATATATAATATATATATTTATTATATATATAAAAGGATTCTTACACTGATTTGAGCAAGTTACCAAGAAAACATCAAATTGGTTTTAGTCTATTAGAGGTATACTGAAATGTGGGAAACATTTGGGAAGATTTCTATTAAAAAGGTTTTTTTTTTTTTTTTTTTTAAATTAAAAGTTATTCCTTGAAAGGAAAAAGCTTTTGTTTTCTGGGCAATATAATTTTGAGAAGACCTTATTCTCCCTTCAGTGACAGATAAATGAAGTATTAACATATTTTGTTAATTTTTAAAAAATTTTGTATTTTTCCATTTTAATTGAATATGTTATTAATTGAGGTACTGTCCTTTTTGTGATCATAAGAAGGGAACTTTATAATGATTATCTTCTTTTATAAATGTAAGCATGCTGATTTCCTTATCCATGTGAGTGTTACCTTGTTCAAAGTGTTTATCCCAACAGTGCTGTTGTTTTTAAAACTCTTGTTTTAGACTTGCCTTCAGAGTTGTGAGCTCTTTTTGAAGGTGAATTTGATATTCAGAAATTGCTAAAAGCCCTTTAAAGCCACATTTATCTGGTGGGTATAAAGTTTGTAATCAGACTGGTTAAAATTATTTTTGGACAGAAATAGAGTCCTGTTTCAACATTGAGATGTAGTTTCTTGAGTGGCTCTTAAGTTAATCTGAGTATATTTCTAAAAGAGTTGTTCTAAAAAATACTGTGAGTAGTTGTAGAATTATTGAAATAGGTGTATAGCGCCTAAGATGACTGTTTTAAAAGAATCATGCTCTCTTTGACTATTGGCATATTAGTGTAAGCAACAAAAACCTCATTTTATAATTATTCCATCTGATATAGAAATCTTTACTTTGCAATTTACTTTATACTCCTCTTTTTCAGACTTAGTATGTGTAATTCACAGTTTAGCCACTGATTTTATGTATAAATGATGATGGTTATAACATTTATAAATGACTTTAATGGGCAGTTGTTTGTTTATATACATGACAAAACTATTATTTCCTCATTGTCCTAGACTTTGTCCTAGGCTTTGGTAGGATAGAATTGTAGTCTAATGTGTCTTAGGGAAACTTTGTTGGAATCTGATTGTTCTCACTTTTTAAAAGCTACCTGGATTTCATTTGATGATAGGTCTTATAATACTTTTTTTAGGTAAAACAGAATTGTATTTTTTTCTTTAATTAGGCTCAAGAGGCCCAGGGAATCCTCTGGACCATCAGAATACCAATGAAAGAGGAGAATCAAGCTGTGATAGGTTAGCTGATGCTCATAGAGCACTTTCTGACACTGGGTCCCTTTCACCTCCATGGGAACAGGATCGTAGGATGATGATCCCTCCATCAGGTATGGAAAGAATATAATTATTTATATTTGAAAGGCAACCAGTCTGTGCAACATAGAGGAATGGAAGAAAAGAGGAATACATGTATGTCCTGTCTTAAGAAAAACCATGATGTATATTAGAAAACAACAGTAACATAAATCTCCAAACATAAAAATTAGGGGTAAATTGTTCATGTTACAGAAATCTGCTTTGCTCCCCTCAAACCCTCCCATGGAATATCTTTATTATTTTTGTTGCTCATAGAAGTAATACATGTTTATTTTGGAAAATCCAAACAATTGTGGGCGCCTGGGTGGTGCAGTCAGTTAAGCATCAGATTCTTGGTTTGGGCTTAGGTCGTGATCTCAGGGTTGTGGGACTGAGCCCTGCATCAGGCTCTGCGCTCAGCACAAAGTCTGCTTACAATTCTCCCCCCCCTTTCCGTCTGCTCCTTCTCCCCACTCTCTCTCTCAAATAAATAAATAAATCTTAAAAAAAAACAAACCTAAACAATGGAGAAATGTGTAATTAGGAAAGTGAAAAAATCTCCATCATCATCTTAGCATACCTTTCTAAGAATTTAGTTTTATATCTTTTAAAAGGTGCATGTTGTACTTTTTGGGTTTTTTTGTTTTGTTTTGTTTTTGAGCATATGTTCATAAACATAAATATAAAAATTCCTTCACTTCGGGGCGCCTGGGTGGCTCAGTTGGTTAAGCAACTGCCTTCGGCTCAGGTCATGATCCTGGAGTCCCGGGATCAAGTCCCGCATCGGGCTCCCTGCTCGGCGGGGAGTCTGCTTCTCCCTCTGATCCTCCCCCTCTCATGCTTTCTGTCTCCCATTCTCTCTCAGATAAATAAATAAAAAAATCTTTAAAAAAAAAAAATTCCTTCACTTATGTGCAATTATACTGTTCACCTTCTTGAGATTGTCTTTTCTCATTGAACAAAATGTCTTAGATTAACGGCTAAAATAAATATATTTACCAGAAGAGTCACAGCAGAATATCCCAGAGGAAGGCGATAACTGCTATTTTCCTAATAGCTCTTACTTTCCCAAGAAATATATTTAAAATTATTTGGTTTGCTAAACTTTATTTAGGCATAGTGTTTCAGGGACACTGTTATGTGAAGTGAGCTACGCCTGCTTTGTATACATTAGTTACATTTAAAAAAAAATATTATTTCCGATTTCTTCCTGAGGAGTTGGAGAGGGTAAGAATATTATAGTAAAAGAACTTTAATTCCAAGAATCAGCTCTTGCTGTAGTAGTGTGTGTGTGTTCTAAGATATGGTGGCTGCCTATACTGTGGTTTTGCTTTGTTTGCTATCACTAAATATCAGCTTCATGAAGACAGAGAGTTGTGTCACTTTGTTCACTGCTATAGCCTCAGCACCTAACACAATGCTAGGCATGTAGTATTTGCTCAGCAAATATTTGTTGTTGGTGGTGTTTTTTTTTAAAGATTTTTTATTTATTTATTTGAGAGAGA